GTCCATAACCAAAGATGACACTGGTGCAGCTGATAATTCTATCTTCTCTTCCCAACTCCCACCATCATTCTTATCCTCAAACTCTCCATCCAACTCAATCAAACCCCCCCAACTCAAATGTGAGGTAAAAGATGATCTCATCTCCCATATGACTAGGAAATCCAGCTTCTAACCTTCTTTGCTCAAGTCCCTCTTCACCGTCTTCTTTCCCTCAGGCTCACACTATGAAAAGAACAGCCAAGACCCTCACAATGTGGCCTCAGCCTCGACTTTGCAACCTCAGCTGCGCTATTCACCAACCTGAAGCCCATACTCTACTCAATAAGACTAATCCCCACCCACTCCCCACCCTTCACGCATTCCCACACCTTTGCTTAGGCCAACTCCTTAACCAGCAGTCCCGCCAACCTCCGCCTCCTCCACTCCAAGCATCTTTGAGAACCTGGGTCAATGCTTCAGGAGGCCTCCATCCCCCTGAATGTCTCCGTTGTCTCTGTCTCTCTCTGCATGATGATCCCAAACCACAGGGACCAGAATGAGCTACACCCACAACTTCTAGCATGTATGCCTTTTTTAGTAAATACTAACTACTTTGAAAGCAAGAAAGAGAAGGAATAAAAGAATGAAGGAAAAGGTATCAAGCCACAGAGATGTTGGAGCCTCCAGGTGACTGAGGACCCCAAGCCTAGATGGGAAGGTATAGGCCGGCAGCCAGTGTGAAGAACCCTGGCAGGTCCTCCAGCACAGAGCCAAGCGTCCATGAGGACCAGGTGGGCAACAAGCTCCTGGTTGAAGCCTGGTCTGCCCCACTCAGGTTGCAGAGTTGTTAGCCCCGGCTCCTTCCACAGCCTGGACCATGAACATGAGTAGAAAGGACCTGGGTCCCATCCACTCACCAGGGCCCTCTTCTGCAGGAAAGGGCCCTGTCTTCAACACCCTCCCTGACGCTCAAGCTCAGGCGCCATCTTCTGGCCAAGGTTAGCACTGCACCTGCCCCACAGTACCAAGGGCAGACAGGGGACCGAGGCTGAGCCCAATCCCAACCCCCTCAAGAACCAGGTCACTTTTGCAGCAGCAGGAATGACTCCAGCTCCTAGAGGTGAGTTTCTTTTTGCTTCCCAGAACCTGTCCTTCAGGTTCTCTGTGAGACACAGAGAGACAGGGAAGAGGAAGGGGAGAAACCGGCTTGATTTCCATGGGTTTCTATCAAACTGAAGCTCTCTTATGCACAGGACAAAGCAGTGGCCTGGGAATAGGTCTGAGGCCCTACTGGCTGCTGCACAGGTGCCCTTCCCTTAGCCAAGTGGTCCCCTGCCCCCACCTAAGCTAATCACTATGCCAGCATGGTATGCCTTGGCCTGCCCTCACCTCCACAGTGATGGGCACCAGATGCTGTTCAGGGATTTGGATTGATCCAGAACCAAAAGTAAAGCATGGGGGCCAGAGACTGCAACCTTGACCCCCTCCCCACTCCCCTACCCCTGCCATACTGAGACAGAGCTCCTCGGGCCAGCCCCATCTGCCTGGGCACAGACCCTCATGACCCTCCACGGCCTCTGCTGATGGGAGGCGTCCTGAAGCACAGACGTGACCCACCAGCCAGGCTGGCACACATCCACCCCTCCAGCCAGTGCCCCCTCCAGCAGGGGCAGCTCTTCAGTCTGAGCTCAGCGCCCACCCGAGCACTTGCACCCAGAAAGATGGCGCTGCATGACAGGCTCGGTCTCACGCCACAACTAGGAGTGAAATGGGCCTCTCCACTGAGGGTCCCAGGGCTGGTGTGGAGCCAGGATGAGTGGGGCCTGATCAGGCATCTTTCTGGGGGAGGAGAGAGCAGCACCCCAAGATGTGTCATGGGAGGAGCTGAAGGAGGGGGGAAGAGCAAAGTGAGTGACTTCCCTCCACCCTCACACCCTCACCCCCACCCACCCTGCCTCCCACACAGCCCCTTTCCCCTCCCTCCACCCACAGACTGAGAAAGTGTGTCACCGGGGAACAAATGCCATCTCCCAGGAGGCAGGCGGAGGAGGGAGGAGAGGGCAGACTTGATCGTGTGCCTGTGCGGGGCCCTGGGTAAGAAAGCAGAGTTTCTGCGCTTCCCAGCCTCGGGGGCGCCCCCTCAGAGCCATGACCTTGACATTGGCCTCCCTTTCTGGGGTGGGAGGAGCACTCAGACCATGCAGCAGGAGTTACAGTGACCACACTCAGGGTCGCCTGGATCAGGGTCACTCAGGATCCTAATCTGAGCCTCACTTCTTTAAAACCTCAATTCCTTGGTTCTTCCAGTTTCATGCCTTTGCTATTCCTTCCTACCTTCAACAGAAGGCCCTGAAGACACAGGTGCTGTCTTCCAAGCACCCTTCGGCCAGCTGGGTGAACCCGCGCTGACGTTTCATCTTGCTCCACCCTGGCTTAGAGGGAGCCACTGACCTGCTCTGGCCTCACCCCCTCCAGCTCTCCAAGGGTTAATCTGCTGCCTTCGCTCCCTGGCAGCCACCCCCACTGAGCTGCCATGTGCCAGCAATGATGTACTTCACACTGTTATTACAGTGATTTATTTAGTTTTAATTTGGGGGTGAATCTCGTGCTGTAGGAAGCAGGAGGCCAATACTCTTGGCAAGAAGCAAAGCCACACGCAGGCCGGCACAGTGCCAACCCCGTCTCCTCGACCTGGGGTGCCCGCGTGCTAGTCCTGAGGCCCAACCTACCCCACACCCCCGCCTGTGGCCTGCCCCTGACGCCAGCCCTCGGCCAGCCTGCTCCTTCCCTCACCCTCCCCACTTTGCAGGAGACGTTCCTCGGGCAGGGAGTCCACAGAGGTTTCTGTGCTGGGTTCCTGGGTGATCCGGGTACCTCAAAGAGCTGGTCCATGAGGCCCTTGCAGGCCAGGCTATCACTGAGTGGAGGGACAGATTTGGCCGGAGGTGAGCACCTGGTACCAGCTCTCCATGACGGGGCCGACAGCCAGCACCAGCTCCACACACATCAGCGAAATGGAACACTGCTTGTCACGAAACCTCCCTCCAGAGCAGCCTGTGGAAGCTGTCCCTTGCTCCGCCACTGGCTCATTAAACAAACACTGGAAACCTACTATATACCAGAAACTTCTGGGGCAGTACCTATAGGGAAGGGAAAAGCAAGTTCTTCACCCCCAAGGTTTTAGGACTTGCAGGAAAACTACCTGGGCACACTAACCAAGCCACACGACACACAAGTGGAGGGAGCAAAGTTATACAGAGGGCCAGAGAGGACCCCGCAGAAGAGCTGGGACCTGAAATGACACCAGCATCTAGCAGTGCCTGGCGTTTGGAGACAGATGGTTGAAGAGATGGACACATGAGCTAGAAACACCAGAAGTCACCTGAGAGAGAGGGGAGTAAAAGTATCCCAAACAGAGGGAAGACCATGACTAGGCGCTTAGGGTTCCACAGGGAACCTGGCCCAGAGAGAGTGGGGTCCAGGCAGTGAGAGCTAATATTTGTTGATTTGCTCCAGGAGGTACTGGAGTTAGCACCAAGCACTCTAAGTTCATTACTCTTCTCATATCAAAATGACCCCATTTGGCACATAAGTGAAGTGAGGAGCCAAGGGGATAAATAATCTGTGCAAGCCCCCAGCTCCAGGGCCCAACTCTAAGCCACTCTGGTCCACCACATTAGTCACAAAACGGAAGGGCTGAAGGTAGGTGGGGTGGACCCTGGAAGCACTGCTAAGGAACTGTTTTAAGGGCAATTGGAGACATCAAAGGTTGTAAACCGATCTCAGGAAAGGCATTAGCTGATCTAGGCTTACCTGTAAGACTGTTTTGCTCAGAAATACTCAAGAAGACATAAAGGAGTCTCTTCCTAAGGGGAGAATGTCAATACAGTGCCAGGTGAGGGGGAAGAATTTTTTTTGCAGTGATCTCTAAGATGCCCTCAAATTTTCCATACTGTCTGTAAGGTTGGGTCTGCCCCACAGCTCAGCCACCTATAGATGGCTCTCAGCTCCTCCTCGTCCCCAGAAGTAAGATGGCAAGAGGAGGCTAGCAAGGGTCTACGGTCCTGGGCCCTGTTTGGGTTCCACACAGCCTACAGGTCACTGCTCAGTGCTCAGGGCTGTAAACAGAAGGACCCTGAGCCCCCTTCTTGCTGCCCCAGAGGTTGAACTGAATCCGAAAAGGGCGGTCTGGGGAGGTAGCATGGCCAGCAGATGAGAAAAGCAGCAGAGGCTGGATGACTGCCTGCCCAGAGATGTTCCATTAAAAGCCAAGGCATTGTGGGCCTCCCGGGTGGCACAGGAGGTTGAGCGCAGCGCTGTAAAGCTGTCCACAGCCTCTGCAGTGTGGGTTCGATTCCCAGCCAGCCAGGGAGTCTACCCTACCCACACGGCGCGGCAGACCTCTCCTGTCTCACCCACTGTTCCCCTCAGCAGTGTTTTCAGTCCATCTGTCTTTTCTGCTCCCCGCTCTGTCTCTGGTGAATCCTCTCACCCTCCCACATCTCTGGCCTGTACCCCAGCTCTTGTATAAATAAAGAAATAAATAAATAGCCAATGCATTGAACCGCTTGGCGAGTTTATGGATGGCACCCTGGACAGCACCCTGGAATTACTTAAGTGTCCTTGGACATATCTGACCATCCCCAATCTGCAAAATGGGGTTAGCAATAGTACCTGCCTCGTGTGTGGTTTGAAGCCAGGTAACACAGGGGACAGCACAGCTGTTGGGTACAGTGGACAATCAATAATTGATAGATATCACCAGGTGGGGCCATATGAATATCAGGTTGCAGGTCAAAAACAATCGAATATCAGCAGCTTCATATGGTTCAACTAATATTTTTTACCGAGGGCCAAGGAGGTTCCCTCTAACCTCTGTGGTTTCCGCAATAAAATGGCTCTTAGGTGGGGCTCCTGGCCAGGGCAGGATCTTGATTCCTGGGGCCAGGCCGCAGGAACTCTGCCAGGGCTTTTCAGAAAGTACCACCCTGGGGCCCATCCGTCCCAGCACGAGCAGGTACCTCTTTGCCCAGGTCCTCACGGATGACCTGGCGGATCTCTTGCATGCTGCTCTGCGGGGCCTGGCTGTGCAGCACCTTCAGTGTGCTGGTGTACTCCTCCGGCAGAAGGTAGTCCAGAGCTGCCAGGTGCTGGCCCACCTTGATGAAGGTGCCCCGGTTGGCACAGCACAGCTCACAGAGACGCCTGGCGGAGCGCAGGTGTACCTGCAGGGAGACGGGGGCCGAGAGACGTGATTGCACATGTCTGCTGGGCGCTAGTCCCTTTCCTGCCCCTCTGCTAAACACACTGATGTGCTCCCAGTGTGCACGCCCACACGCACATGCAAACACACCTGCATGCATGTGTAAGCCTGCGTTCCCCTTCTCCCTCAGTGTTCCTCAGCCTCAGGACACAGAATAGTTGAGTCCACCGCTTACTGAGGTCAGCCTTCTTACGTGGCCTGACGCTTTGTTCTCCTTCTTTCCGTCAAACCTGGTCCAGGTGCTACTCCCTCAAACAAGCATTCAAGGCTTTTAGCAAGACCAACCTGCTACTGATTTACTCAAGGGCACAGTGAGTTTATGGATGCACTGCTCCCTCCTCCCACATCTACTACTACTACCTGCATTGTATAAAACATGGTCAGGTGTAGTATTTCCTCTCATCCTTAAAGCAATCAGAGAGGCAGGTATTGGTATTTTTAAGGGTAAGAAATGCAGCTGTTTTGGGGGCCTCCCTAGTGGCACAAGGTGTTAAGCACAGCACTATGGAGCAGTCCACAGCCTCTGCAGCACGAGTTCGATCCCCGGCCAGGGAGCAACCCACATGGCATAACAGACCTCTCCTGTCTCGTTCTCTGCTCCCCTCAGCAGTGTGTTTCAGTCTGCCTGTTCTGCTCCCCACTCTGTCTCTGGTGAATCCTCTCAACCCCTGCACCTCTGGCCTGTACCCCAGCTCTTGTATGCATAAATAAATAAATCTTTAAAAAAAAAATAGAAATGGAGCTGTTTTACATTTACTTATAAAGGCAGTAAATGTCACAAGAAGGTCTAGAAACACTCCAACCCTTAGTAAACTTGGCAAACTTTAGCAGGGATCTCCAGTTAGTTGAGGAAATTCTTTTCTGAGATGGTGCCAGACCCTCGGAGTAGGCAGATGGGCAGGTTGTCTAGGACAGGGCAGCATTAACTTACACCCGATGCCCACCTGTCCTTCCAGAGCTGGGAGGTGGCCCCACAGCTCCTGCTGTGCACCCCCAGCCACCACCCAGGCTCAGCCTAAGCTCTTGGAACTCTGAGGGTGATGCCTTCCTGGAGCTACAGCCTCTGCACCAGAATGGGACCCTGCACACAGAGAGGACAAGGGAGCCAGTGCCCTGGGAGAACCTGGGCCCACGGCCACCCACAAAGGCAAACGAGAGCGTGCGCCCCTCTGACGGAGTACCCTGAAGTGGGACAGTTAAGAGCGCTGACATACCAGAGGCAATAAACCAAGCAAGGGGTTAAATAATAGCTTGCAACAAAGATGGAAGGAATGTTCAAGATCCTATATAATCAGTTGCCAAGTGAACCAATCAGAAAATCATTCCTTTAGAAAGTAAGAAAACACTGCAGGCTGAACGCCCATATTCCAGCAGCCCAGGGAGCCCACCTGCCCCCTCCCCACTCCCACAACAGAGCGGACACCCAGACTCCAGGCTCCAGCAGGCCTTCCTGAAGCCCTCAAGGGTCTGCCCTTCTGCTCTGCTCTACCCCTTGGGGGGCCTCCAACCCCCGGGCAGTGCCCTCTGGCCTTGACATAGGCACCTGGAGAGCTGGGCCAAGGGATCTCTTTTTCTCTAACAGGAAGGAGCTGGGAGAAGGAAATTATTGATGATTCTAAGAATTGAGAAGCACATGCCCCTAATGAATCAGAGTTGTGGGGGAGGGGTGGATTCTCTTTCCGAAGAATGTGGAACTAGGGACAGGGCTGGCTCACATCACACGGAGGCCGGTCGGTGCTGTGGGTGACCAGAGCCACACTTGAGCTGTGGTTCAGAGGGGGACAAAGAAGGCAGACATGGCCGAACATGGAGCTGGGCATTCCTCGCTATACAAGGCTCCACGCTGTTATGAACAGCTTTTTTTGAAAAAAAAAAAAAAAAAAGATTTATTTATTTATGCATATAAGAGCTGGGGTACAGGCCAGAGGGGTAAGGGGTGAGAGGATTCTGTTCTGGGGAGAAGAACAGGCGGGTTGACTGAAATACACTGCTGAGGGGAGCAGCGGATGAGACAGAAGAGGTCTGCTGAGCCATGTGGGTAGCTCCCTGGATGGCCAGGGATCAAATTTGTGCTCGAAACTAGACTTTGTCAACAGGGGCCGTGCAGGGAGCCACAGCAGAAGCAAGGGGTGTCCCTTACTGGTCCCAGGGTGTTTTCAGCACAGAAGTCAGTGGGACAGTGGCTTGGGGTGCCTATTTGCATGGTCCTCTCAGACTACACATGCCCTCACTTTCCCCCCACTCCCCAGGCTGGCCCCTCCAGGGAACCAACTCAGGCCCACACTCTGCAGCGCTGGTTCTGACCACCCAACAGGCCGCTCCTCCACTTGAGCCCTGGCCACCCCTCCCAAGAATGTCTCTGACCCGACAGTCTACTCGGGCACACCCCCTGCTCATGGCTAGCGCAGCATGTGTCCAGCAGCGGGAGGCCCTCAGGGGAGTGCATAATTCTGTCCTTGTTCATGACCCCTCAGTTCTAGAAGCAGCAGCCGCTCATCTGAGTGCAACTTCTCTACCCTTAGAATGTTCTTTATTCCTTTCAGGAGTTAACTACTTTTTACTAGCTTAAATTAAGTTCCCCCCTTCAAATTATAGGTGTGGTCCACAGAATGGCTTCTGAAACTGAATTTGAATAGATTAAGATGAAAAAAAGGAGGGCGTTTCAGATGGAGAGAACATAACAATATGCACTTGTGTCCACGTGCACTTGCTGACAAAGACCAAAGACTGCCCTTTCTTCAGACCCATTAACATCCACGCTGTCTGCCACTAGCAGTTCCGAACCACCCTGCCAAGCCCTGACAGCAGGGAGCAGAGCCAGGGCTGGGCTCCCATCCCAGTGGGTAGGGGTCAGTCCCTTGGCACAAAGTGATGGTCACCTTCAGGACACTGGACAATGTAGGAAGCTCTCAGGGAGCTGGTGTACCCCCAACTCAGTTAGGTTAGGTAGCCCATCAGCCACTGGGGACAGAGACCACGTGTGTCCCCTGTACGCTCTGTATACCCCAGGACAGGCCACACATGTGCCATAAATGTAGATTGATGATGACTGTAGGTCTAATGCACACAAAACCATCACCCATGAAACTGAGTCAGCATCTACTGCAAATGGCGCCCACACTTCAGCTGAAGGAGCCCCAAAGTCACCTTTAACTAGCTTCTATTAAAACACACACACACTTACTCACAAGGTGAGGAACACAGTCATACACCAAAAAATTAAAATATTCTTTTAAAGCCAAAAGAAACAAATGCTGAATAACAGAGCAGGCATGCTGATTTCAAGGTCCCCTTCCAGCTCCAGCTGTAGTGTCCTTTGTGATCAGAAGGCAAGTCCCCCTCAGAGTTCCAGAAACTACTGGCTTAGTGCAAACTCCCCCTATCAGCCTTCTCTTGCTTAGTCAGGAACCATCAGGGCCAAGTCTGCCAAGTCTAGCAGGGAATCTCAACTCTCTGCTACCCAGGATCCTTTCCCCTGATCATGCAGTGGGCATTATGAAAGGCAAAGCTTCTCGGATATCCTGATTCATTCCTTTGAATCCCATCCATTCCCCTTCTTTCAGCACCTACACAGCACCAGCACCAGAAGGGACATGCAGACATGTGTGCTGTCCAATAGAACCTCCCATTGTCATGAAACTGCTCTCCATCTGCACCATCCATAACAGTGGCATTAGTCACAGGCCTGGAAGTGGCCACTGGACACTCAAAATGTGGCTAGTGTGACTGAAGAGTTGAGGTTTCATTTTATTTAATTATAAATAATTTAAGTTTAAATGGCCATATGTGGCTATTGGTCACCAGCTTCGACAGCTCAGGGCTCTAAGTTAGTAACATCTATAATAAATAAATGTTTATTTAGTGCCCTGTTTGAGTGTGACTCCTGGCCTACAGTAAACATGCAGATAGAAGTGATGGTGGTTATTATTAAGGCCATCCCACATCTCTGTAAAATAGATCTTAATGTGTCCTTCAAGGTGAGAAAGGGATCTCAGAAAGGCTCACTGTCACTCCTACAGTCCTAGAGACTATAAACAGTGAGACACTGGTGTGTCCACTCACGGGCCAGGGAGCAGGCATTAACTGACCTTCTCTTTGTACAAGCATCACCAGACTGCAAAGAGGAGCAGCTGAGGCCCTCATGAGAGAAGCTGCATTGCAGCTGAGAGGTGGATGTGGCCCATGAAACCAGAATCACCAGTGGCAGACAGTAAAGGTGTGTCACGTGCTGCAGAAGCTGCCAGGCTGGGCTCCAGGCTGGCCATGGAGGTTGTATCAAGCATACACAGTTTAAAAGGCCAATCAGCACGAGCTCTGCCTAGTCTTGGAATAAAAGAGGGCGTCACATAACATAATGGTTAATAGCACTGGCTTTGGTATCCGAAAGACTTGGGTTCAAATCCTACCCTATTACTTGTTATATAACCTTGGACAAGGTCATTAACTTTGGAGCCTCAGTTTCCTCATCATTGAAATAAGAATGAAAATATATTTGTCTCTGTGATGACCAGATGAAGTGATGCATTAAAAAGAGCATGGCACAGGGTCCAGGACACATTCAGTGCTCAATAAATGAATGAAAAGAGTCTGGAGGCAGGGAGAGAGAAGGATCGAGAATTAATCTTCAAAGAAAAATTTAAAAAAAAAACACACACAGGGCCATCCACTCCCTAAACCTTGTTCAGTCCAACAAGTCTGGACTACAATCTATATACAAAGACAATAGCCAATTTCATGCTTGTAGTCTAAATTGCAAAGCATTCATGCATCAGAAAAGCAAAGAACGATAAAGCATTATCCTAAATACACTGATTTGGGGTTTGCTTCCCCCCCCAAATCTCCCTACTTCCACACCTACCCTAACATTACCCATTTGCTCCCCAGAACTGAGTCCTGCCCTTACCTAGCACCTGGTTTCACCGGCTGGCGTGTGGGTGTCACCACAGCGTGTCCTCACTATAG